TCAATATTTACCTATCTCGCTCTTCAGCCATCAATCATATTTTGCTGCATTTTTATCAGAGTATTTTGCAGACAATATACTTCCTTCTAAATCAGCGGTTCTCAATCTGTGGGTCGCGACCCCTTTGGGGGGTCGAACGACCCTTTCACAGGGGTCGCCTAAGACCATTGGAAAACACATATATAATTACATATTGTTTTTGTGATTAATCACTGTGCTTTAATTATGTTCAATTTGTAACAATGAAATTGGGGGTCACCACAACATGAAACTCCCATCAAGATGAGACCTTTAGTGTCACCCCAGAAAATTCCCTCATGCTCTTTCCCAGGTGGTTCTATCTCCTTATTCCTCAAAGGTAACAGCTGTTCTGATAATTGTTCTACTATAGATTGGTTCTGCTCTTCTCAAACTTTATACAAATGGAATTCTAATGTACTTTTTTTTTTGTATAATTCTACTTTTATTTATCATAATATTTTTGGGATTCATCGATATTGTTGTATAGATCAGTACTTCCTTTATATTGCTGAGCAATATTCCATCATATGAATATATTATAATTTATCTGTTGTTTTATAATGGACATCTGAGCTGTTTTCATGGCAACTTATTTTTGCTGTTATTACTTATTTTACACAGGATGAAGTCATATCTCCCTTGCTTATTCCTTCACTCTTACATCACTTACATTATGGTGGTTTAGGTTGGAGTTCTCACTGTAGCAACTTATATACAGTAGCAGCAGAAAAGGGGAGAAGTTAGGGATGGAGTAGAGGACACAGTCATTACATGTTATTGGTACTAAAGTCAATCTCTACTACAATTGTACATTGAAATTCAGTTTTTCAAGTTGATCTGTTTGCAGTATTTCATTTGCTAATTAGACAGTACTCTATTATACCATCTTTGATACAGTGGCAAGGTGACACGTCTTATAAATTTAAACATGTTTTTGTCTACTGTATGTATGGTGTACATGCTTTGTATCTAGTCTCCAAATACCATAAGAGCATTAAGACTTGTTTTATAATACAGTCTCTTCATTTAATTTGTGATATCCCAAAGAAAATATAATTTTTTAAAAATAACATGGTTTGAGGACAAGTAACTAAGGCTATCAAAGAAGCATTTAAAATATTAAAACCCACTCAGTATTTTCCAGAAGATGTGAAAGTAATACCACTTAATAGGTTAGCTGCCACCCTGCACTTTTGAAGCACTTTAGAGTCATTCATCTCTCTGAGGTAGGACAGTATTAGTACCTTTGCTTGGTTAATAAATGAGAACTCCCTGCCACCACCCTCCCCGGGTTTTACTATATTTGAATTCCAGAATTTATCCAGAGCGCTCCAAACAGTGCTTATGTGGTCTTCTGGTGTCCTAACAAAGGTTCCTTTTAAAAATGGCCTTCCTCCCTTGTCTCCTGAATACTTCTGGGATTTTTTTTTTTTTTCAGAAGAGTTGTTAAAACTAGATACAAAGAATTGTTCATTTTTGTGGTAGCAGTAAAAATAAATTTAACTTGAAAATTTGTAAGAGATTATATCATTCATAGAAGATTTGAATAAAAGTTATATATAAAAATAGGTGAAATGCTTCATAAATGTGGATAAAGTCTTTAAACAGAACTTTAATGTGCACCTAATTCATGTTTTTCTTGAGAAAAGGGGAAGAAACCATGGGTATTTCTGATTTTGTCATAAATGGCTATGAGGATGGTATCTCTGCAGATTATTGCTTATCTTATTATTTGAACTGATAGCTTAAATTAGAGCATGTTTATGGGAACTTTATTATTTGAATAAGTAAAGTGTCATCCCATTCAGACACCTGGCTGTGCTAGTCTTTGTTCATTTAAATACAAAACATTTTTAAAGCAAAAATTCCAAAGCCTGGTTATTTTATCTATGCTTATTTACAAGTATATTTGATCTGGTTCTTGTTTTTGAGCTTCTTAATACTGCATAAAAATATTAATCATTAGTAGTCTTAATATAGATATCTTCAGCACTTCTACAGAAAGTCATTGTCAGAATTCATTCCAATTCAAGGTTAATTAGTGTACCATTAAAATAATGTGTTACCAAAATTAATTACATTGCAGGTCAAGCAATGTGTTAAAAAGCATAGTGTAAGTGTCTGAGAGCACATCATCCTCCTTAAAACATTGCTGTACAGTGCCGCCCTGCTGGAAAATATATCCAAAGTGGATATCACTACTGAGGTCCAGTCATAGGTGTTCCCCCTAAAGTAAATTTTTGGCACCACATATGGGAGATTTAAAATATGACTCCCATTAACAGTAAAATGTGTTGCTTGTCTGCTTTCCCATCGGAACAGCTAAGGACTTGTATTTTATTATTAATCGATGTAACCCTACTGGGTTAATTCTAAGGAGAAATTAGGAACGTAGTGGAGAATAGAAATTAACTTGTGGTAAAAGTACTAGATATATTAATATTATGTTTTCTTACTTAACTGGTTGGTAGTTGTGGTAGGTGCCCTGTGAAAGTGTATCACGCATCATTTTAACTATGTAGTAATTCTTGTTAATAGTTTAACTTAATAGCCATAAAATGTACACTTAAAGTTAGAACTAAATATGATAGAGACTTTAAAGTTTTATATGATTCTTTTAATGTAAAAGCTGTAAAACAATTACATTGAACTAAAGGGTATTTTCTATATTGGTATTTGTTCTGAGAGTCTTATTAGGATATCTAATTACCGTATTTGCCGGCATATAAGACGACTGGGCGTATAAGACGACCCCCTAACATTTCCACTCAAAATACAGAGTTTGTTATATACTCGCCGTATAAGACTACCCCCTCTTCCACACACCTTCCACACACCAAATAAAAGGTAAAACAATATCAGATTTGATTTTAACATTTTAATTTATATTCAAATGCTTATGACATGCAGGAAAACTGTCACAAGGCTGTATGTAATCAAACATATACATAAAACAGTGCAAGTTTATTACCGGTAAACATACCGGTAATTCACTAAAGAAAACACACTCTATAGACTGGTACCGTAGATGCTTCTCAGGAACACAGGCAAGCAGCCCACAACCTAGAGGGACTGTCAATGATAGAAGTAAGATAACAAATAGAGGGAGAGAGCAAGTGCCGGGCAAGTCCCTAGCAAGTTTGCTGGCGTGACAGTTTCACCTTAAAAGCCTTCAAACTCCTCTTCATCATCTGATATTAAAA